CAATGGCAGCTTCTGCCCGACCGTGTGCCCAGGTACCCAGGAAAAGCCCTGCCCAGGCATTTAACGGCTCACATGTTGTATGGGATGGGCGAGCCAGTTGTTTGTATGGAAAATCATAGAATAATTAGTAAACAATGCAAGAATAAACTGTGTTGCACACTCCCAACTGTAACTCTGCTTCTGCCCACCCCATTAAGTATCATAGAAACAGGATACTTGAAACAGGAAATTTATAAGTTCCTTTAAACTAATTTATTGTGTCAAAGTAATTACTCTGTTCTTAGGGTTATTTTTTTTTAAAGCCTTGAGTAACAAATTGACATATTTAGAATCCCTGGTACTGGTTTTAATACGCCTGCATGTTTGCAGGCATATGGAATTGGGTAAGAGCAGAGTTGGCAAAATTCGAGCGTATGTGCGAGGCTTATGAAACTATGTTCATTGAAATCATTGCTCCACGGGAGCCTCTGGAGCTGAACCGACACGTGCTTCACAATTAAGGAAATTGCATCTGGGTGTTGAGAAGTTGAGAATTTACTATGTGATAATTTCCTTGGTTTAGATGAGTTCAAATCAGCCAAGACGCTGAAGGATATTAACCACCTAAAGAAAGTGTTGAAACAATAGTTCTTTAAATTGTAATGGGATTATGTCTTAATGTGGTGCTGGAGGCTATGCCACACGCGCCTGCACACAGAGGCACTCACACACATGCATGTATACACACATATGCTCACACACTCATGCACACGCGCACATGCACATGCATGGCCTTGCCCAATGGCGGGAAACTGCCCTTGAAGTCTGCTTGGAACAGAGAGACCATCCATAACCAGTGTGAAGTGGGGGCCTTGGGGGATGAGTATGGCCTCAGGCAAATCCTCCAGTGACAGGAATGGAAAAGTTCCAGGGAACGGGTGGAGTTTTCCATTGTGGGAGCAGGTCCCGATGCTTGATCCTTATCTGCAGCCTCAGGCGTGTCCCTGGCAAAAATCCTGGGGACATCCTCCTTGCAGGAATCTCATGAATAATCCACACAGTATACATTTTAAGATTCATGTGTCATTTTAAGAACAATGTACAGCATTTCTGTCCTATTGTTTTGCCCTTGAAAAGCCCGGGTTTCGCGGGTTGGTCCCCGGCGGTATAGTTGTACACGCATGGAATTTAAGTTGAATAACAGACTTCCTGAATGCCAAGACACCCAGCGGCTGGACCACACCCTGTCACCCTGGTTTCCTAGCGGCCGGCCACAGCGCTTGGCATGGAAAAAGGCCCTTCATCACTATTGACTGGGTGGGTTGGTGTTGGATAGATGACCGCCACGGGATATGTGTGTCTCCTTACACAATTAATAAAAATGAGCTACTCTGTTCTTGTCGTGGACAGTTACAAAGGAATGTGCATTTTGATGTGCAAATGTACTGAGGTTGACAACTACAGGGGTCATATGCTATGTGTAACGCAGATATTTACAAAAAACATAGAATATTGTATATTACTTATTTAACGTTTACATTAAGCTGTAATGTGCATTGATTGTAAATGTTTTCCGGGGTGTCCAACCTTTTGGTGTCTCTGGGCCACACTGGAAGAAGAAGAATTGTCTTGGGCCACACGATAAATACCTTGTGACATATAATCACAAAAAAAAGGTCATAATGTTTTAAGTAAATCCATGATTTTGTGTTGGGCCGCATGCGGCCTGTGGGCTACAGGCTGGACGCGCCTGATACAGGTGAACCAAAGGAGGCAGAATGGGGGGCGAAGAAAATGCAGGTTTTTCTCCCATCCGTGTTGGAGGACATAGCCTGCAACATTTTTTCAGAAATTACTTTTAACATGTGGGTCTGTGATACAATTCTCCCTTATAACCTGACTTTTTACTTCGTAGGCATCGTATATACCAGCTCTCCATATCCCTAAGTCTTCCTCTACTACCTCCTTTTGCTGCAGTAGTTTCGACGGTGGGAGCGGTTCATTGTGCGGAAGTCCCACGCAGAGACCAGGCTGCGGTGTCCCAAGGACGCTGCTGGCCGCCGACCTCCCGGCTGTGCTCACACGTCATCGCCAGAACTCGCCACCCCTGCCCAGTGTGCTCGTCTCTGATCTTCTGCCGTAGATCCTGAGCGGGGAAGGTAGACAGAGAACCAGGGGGACCGTGTGTGACGTCTTTAGAAATGGGGGAGACGGGCTTTTAGACAGGTCAGTGACAGTGCCCCTCTTACACTTAAAGTGAGAGTGTGGGCTCTCTCGCGTGATTCCCTTCTTTTTATCTGGAGTAAGACATGACCAGGCTTACGAAGGGCTTTGGTGAATCCACAGTAATGAGCCCACAATGGGCAAGTCCCGCGTGGAAATGGGCAGTCCATTCTCGCCGATGCTGGGAGGGCCGCCTGGCCCAGCGTGGTGTTTGCTGTGTCCCGAGGAGGCTGGAGGAGAGCCCCGTCCCGGCAGATCACTGAGGTCAGGATGCACCAGGTCTGCCTGGTGACCTGGAGGGCGGCCTCCAAGGACGGGAGGTGTCGGCTTGGCAGGGAAGCCGGATCCTCTTGCGCTGAGTGGCCTGGCATGGAGGCCGTCTGGTAGCAGGGGCCTGGGATCGGGGTGGGTGAGGACGACGGGGTGTCGGTGTCTTCAGGTGGTTTTCTCCTAATCGTGTACAGGACTGTATCTGAATTAACAAATACACTTTCTGTCAATAGCCAATGAAGGTTTGTTGTTTTTAAAAAAACAAAAAAACTTGGCATTGAATGTTCAGAGGACACAGGTCGGTGCCCTTGGCCGCTCCAGGCATGGGGCATTGTTCTCTTTGGAGGCGGCAGCCTCAGTCAAACGTTTTGTCATTAGAACTGAAAATGTGCTGGGTGTTTTTTTTTGTTTGTTTTTTTTACAATTCATTATCTCAAAATTAGTTTTTTATTCACTTTTTCCATTTAGATACATTTTTAAAATCGGACATAATGAAATTTATGGGTGGACGCTTCAGGAAATATATCAAATAGCAGTATCTGGTTTTATGTTTTCTCTTTATTCTTATTAAAGAATAAAACACATACGTATAGGCACATATACATGCATTTTCCAGAATGAGAGCGAGGAAAAGCAGAGCAAGCAGATGTAAATCTCCAGCAGTTAGAGTAACGGGGTGAAGGATGTTAGTTCTTCGTGTTACGGTGTCGCTCTTCTGTAAGTTTGAAATTGTGTCCCAATAGAGAGTCACATGTCAGCGTTCACTGACTCAAATCCAGCAGGAAGCGACGCGTGAAGGGCAGGCCCTGAACGGAGAATTAGTTCTCCCCAAGAACTGGGCAGTGGGTCAGGTGGACTTTGCAGAATTTTCCTCCATGGCAACTTGGTTAGCATAGGGCTCACTAGAGGCCATCCCACTTAAGGAAGGCTGCTTTTTGGGGAGCTCCACAATGGGGCCCTGCTTTTTGGGGTGCCACAGTTACCATTTTAAATGGATGCTTGTTAGGAGGGCAAAAAACAAGGACTCTTTAGGGAGCAGACAGCAGTTTTCTCAGCGCTCCTGAAGCCTAGTGGAAGCTGCCCAGATAAAACAGCTCAGTGCTTTGAAATTTTAGGGGAAACAAAATTTTAATCAGCCCTCTGCCATCTCCTTCATTGTTCGGAGATGAAAAGAGTGGAAATCAACATCCCTGCAAACTGTGGGTGCTGAGAATTGGTCAGGTTCTGCTTTTCACACAGTGAGATTTTTTTTATTTTCTCTCTTTCTCTTTTGCCTCTTTCTGTCCTTCGGCCCTCCCCCCTTCTCTTTCCTTCCTTCTTCCTTTCTCCCTCCCTCTCTCTCTCCTTTTCCCTCTTTCCTCCTCTCCCTCTTCTCCCTCCTCTTCATCGGTCTCTTCCTCTCCTCCTCCCATCCATAACTCGAGTGGGGAAATCATGGGACAGTAAAGGACGTGCAGACTCGGGCCACTTTCTGGCCCTGTGACTCGCGCAGCCCGAAGCCTGAGGGCGACCATCCCCCCGGGCATGCAGCCCTGGGACCGCAGTGGCCCGGTGACTCAGGACTCGGTCCATTGTGTTCGGCGGGGCCCCTGTTGAGACCACACCTCTTTTCTGGTCCAACTTTCATGTGGCTGGATTCAAAGCAGAATGTTGTTTCTTCCAGAGAACAAGTAATTTCCTGAAAATGAGTAATTAAAGGCTGAAACCCTCTAAGGAATGTTCAGGCCTACGAGCTGTACTTCCTTCGGGTGAAAAACAGACATGTGGCCATGAACTTACAGTTCAGATTCAAAGCGCTTGATGAGGCATTCGTTCCGTGGCATGTCCCTGTGCCCAGGAGTCCTGTCAGGTCTGCTGTCTGATGTTTGTCACAGTGAGACCAGCTCGCTGACATTTTAAAGCATGCGTTGTAATTTTAGTTACTTAGATTTTAAACACGTATTTGAGAGCAAGGATTTGACACGTTTACTTTCCTCTTTATTTTTCTGGCTTACTTTAATTCTTGAGACATTGTGTTTGACACGGGTTTATCGCGAGCAAATAAAAATGACGTGTTTGGAGGGAAAACAATGAAACCCCCCTGGGACACCCCCTGGAGATATTGAATCAACGGAGGTGGTTCAAAACCAGCAAGCCAGTGGCTGTTAGGAAACATCGTCTTGAAATAAGTTCTACCTGTGAAGCCCCCTTTCGGGAGCAAGGGGCAGAGGGTGGGCCCCGGGGCGGCAGGTCCAGTGACGGGGGCCGGCACCCTGGCCACAGGCGCGCTCGGCGCGTGGGTCCCGCGGCGCAGGCGGCCCGTGCGAAGCCGTCGGGGCCCCGCCACATCTGCATCCTGCCTCAGCGCCGCGTGTCCCGCGGCGCACACCGGGTCACACCTGCTGTGGCAGTCCCGGGCGCAGGCAGTGCATGCCTTTTTTTTTTTTTTTAATTAAAAAAAAAAATCTCCTGGCTGCATATCATCAAGAAAAACAACATTGTTTTCGGGGTCTCTTATCTCTCCACTCCCAAATATCCTGTTTCTTCGGGCTGGGCGGCCAGGACCAATAGAAACCTCTTCCTGCCATTGGCTGACTTCATTTCCCAGACTTAGCACAATCTCATCCGCTCTAAACAACCTCATCAAAACTACTTTCTGGTCAGAGAGAAGCAATAATTATTATTAACATTTATTAACGATCAATAAACTTGATTGCATTATGGCCAGCACTATTAAGGTAAGGAGAGGGTTTTTGTTCGTTTGACAAAATCTTGTGCTTGTTACTCTTTCCTTCGGTTTCCTTTATCAAGACAGATAAGTTCGGATTGGGCAACACCCCCACTACCACAATAGAGGACAACAAGATTTCCTTTGCGCTGCCTAGTAAATTTCCTTTTTCCTACTCCAACCATCCGCAAGGCTTAAAAACTTCAAACTCAGGAAAAAATTGGGGTTTCTAAATTCACTGTTGAGCGCCGTGGACGCCTTTTGCAAAGGCTTTTCGGAGCGAGGGTGCCTTTTCGTTTTCTTTAACGGTCCCCGCCGGTCTGGGGGCGGCCCCGCTGGCCGGCAGGGCCCTTGGAGAGGCCGGCAGGGCAGGGCCGCGGCCAAGGACGGGCTTGTAACTGCCGCTCCCTCGGGTGCTCTGGGGTGACCCTTGGCGTCAGGGACGCCCGCCAGTCCCAGTGGAAGTGGCAGCGGTGCCTGGCGAGTGGCTGTTGGTTGTGGGACATGCAAGTGTTGGCTTGATTTTTGGATCCTTCGTGCTGAGAACGGAGCGTTCTCGTAACCCAGACGGTGGTAATTCGGCGTGTCGGGTCATGTGTTTGTCTAATAAAATGGCTACTTTTCTGTGCGCCGTGAGTAAGCCTTCTTCCCCGTGACGCGTGGGCGGTGGGCCTCGGGCAGCAGCGGCCCCTCGGTTCTCTGTGCTCGGCGGGCGTGAGGTCTGGTGTATTTTTCTTGCCAGTGTGTCTCGTGTATTGTATGCAGAGAGGTGAACGTGGATGTAAATCTGTAAAGGTGGAGACCTACATGCGGCCTCATTTCTGGAAGTGAAACCGATGGAACTGTCTGTGTGAGCCAGCGGCGTGGAGTCTGTGAAGTGCTGGTCTGGTAAAATATTTTCAGGGCCACCGTGCCTTGGTGACATTTGTAGAGATGGAAAAAGTCAGCAGCAAATATGAAAAGGAGGAAAAAGATAGTTTTACTAGCTGCGTGCCTTTTGTCTGCCAGCAGAGAGGTGAGGAGCATTTGGTTGTGTTTTCATCAACAGTTTTAGTTAATTTGAAATCTCGGGAAAAATGGAAGTTTGCCCAGAATTGGGCCCCAGGCATTTTCAAAAATCCTCCCTGGTTTGGTCTTTTTGTTAATCTGAAATATTTGCGTTGGAGGATTTGATTAACACCCACCATGTAAACTGTTTCAGAAGTGCTATTCAGGTTTTCTTCTCAAGGTGTGTTTTACTTTTCAAGGCATGTTTGATAGTACATTAAAAATTCATACATCAAAGACTTCCACCTTACAGGGATTTTTCCTTCTTTGGCTTCAAGGATCGGAGTCTGCTGAAATGTCAATTCTTATAGAAAGGAATTGTGAAATTGGGGGTTTGATGTGCTCCATTCCAGCTATGTGAGCAGAAATTATTTGATTTTATAACCCCAAATTCTACCCTTTTCATTCTTATTTTCACACCTAATTACGTTCGTATTTCATAGCAGTTAAATCAGATATTCTTTGTAAATCTTGAATAGCCTGAGTACAGTCTTATGTGTCTTTCAAAAAAGCAGTATATTAAAGGACATTAAAATAAAAGTCCATCCTTCAGAATGTGGGGTATGTTTTGCAAAACGTACAGGTTTTACATTTCTGAAGATCTGAAGATATTCTTTCTTCAAGCTTGAACGTTTTGTGACTTTCAGAATAAATTCTGGGAACTAGTTTATGCTTGTCTAGGATACTATGCTTGCTTCCACATTTTATTGCATGCGTTATCTGTAGGTTGTCTGTTTCTCAAGTGAACCGTTAAAATGACATCAAGTAAATTATTTTTAATCCTCTGTTAAAACAAAATAGTCCCTCTTTATAGGTAACTTCCTTTAATACATGTCTCTGTTAGCCTTCCTGGGTAAAGTCATGAGATGATTTTATAGACTTGTTTATAGAAACAACTGTCGACTACAGATTTAATTATGTGAGTGCAAAGCTCAAATTAGCAGAGGGGAAAGCTAAGGCTTTTCATTGGAATTAGGAAACAGTCAGTCTTTCCTACAGGCGATTTCCAGTCTCAAACACACTCTGTTTTTTTCTTTCAGTAAATAAACCAATTAGTAGATTAAGTATCAGATGCACTGAATTGTTAAGTTGATGTTCCACAGCTGAGTGGGAATTTTTTTTTTTTGCATTAATACAAGACCCTCTGAGGAACTAGGAAAAGCTAAATGTTTTTATCCTCTTGTGTGTGTGTGTGTGTGTGTGTGTGTGAGAGATCCTCACCGTTATTTTACCTTGGTTTTTGGAATTGAGAACCAAACATCAGCACTGGAAGAGGTAAAGGGATTTTAAGAACTTATGTGAGAGTGCCCATGTATCTGTAAGTGCCCCTGGATTTGAAGATCAAATTATGAGTTTTAATAGAACACATACGCATCCCCGGATGCGATTCACAGATCAGTTTGGGTTCTGTGCCCAGGCACAGCACTGAGCGGTGCCTAACACCCCTCCCCCGCTCCCCCGGAAAACAGCACCTTGTTTTCCCACAGGGACTCCCGGGAGCCCTGGAACTTGATTGTGCTTCTGTTAGGATTTTAAATCCAAACCCCCAAGACTTCCTTGATCCTTTTGTTAAGCAACGGGACACTTGGGAAGCCTAAGGAAGCCTAGGATCCCATCTCAGAATAATGCTTTTCAGTGCCAAATGCCAACAATGCATTGTGATGCCTAGAGGGACAAGAGAAGCTAATTAGAGTGAAAGTCAGTGTCCCCCCCACCCCGGGACTCTGTGGGTGGTCCGAGAGCCCCAGCAGCCCCTGAGCCTACAGCGTAATGGTCTTACTCTTTAAAAAAAGAAAAGGGCATGCGGGCATCTTCCTTCATCCCAGAGAGGTCTGATGCTGGAGGAGGTGCAGAGAGCAAGCCAGGCACAGAGCCTTGCAGGACTCACAGGGTATGGAAAGTTACTACCAAGTAGCTCCATGAGGAAGCAGCTATTACTGTTTCCATTAGTTGTTTAAACAAGTTACTTTCTCTGATTTAACAGAGGGTACAGGGTTCCATGGTAGTTGAAATTTGAGGTGTTCCCTTAAAAACATATAGCCCGTTTTATATAGCTCTTGCCTTGCACCTAGCAGACACTCACTGGATATTTGCCATTATGTGTGAACACAGAAACTTATGAAAACACCAAAGGTTATATAAAGAAAGTTCATCTTGTTGTACTTTGATGGACGTGATGAATGAATTTAGCATGTGATTTTCATCAGCCCCATCGGCTTACGTGGAATAAGAATTGTTTATGCCCTGTCACTTGGGGGCGGGGGTGGGGCTCAGTGACAATGGAAGGGATGTAAAATGTAAAATGTTGCGATCTGCAAATATCACATCCCCAGAGCAAGCCCTGGTCTTCTGTCCTTGCCTGAAAGTGGGATTTCAGGCCACGGGTTGAAAACGGCCAGCTGCTCGCACTCCTGGGGGCTCTGGGGCACGGTCCGGTTTCTGGGGGAGCTGTGCCCCCGCCGCAGCTCTCTGGGCCAGTGTGCGCCTTGCCCCTGGGCAGCCCGGCTCAGTGACCCCGGCGAGCCACGCTGGGAACCGCTGAACGTGTGGGCCTTCTTTCCCATTAAAGGCCCATTAAATACTTAACGTAGGACTGCCAAGCTCTCAGAGAATGTTCGGAAAGTCTGAACCCTCTGTTAATTACATTTTCTTTAAGGTGATGAATCTATTTGTTTGTTTGTTTGTTTGTTTATTTTGCAGAACAGACTTTTATTCTAACCCCCCCCCCCACACGCACACACTCATGCATATATCTCTTGAAAAAACACACGTCAAAATAAATTAAGGGAGCAGCCATTCCTGACGCCTCCAGGGAGACGTTGCTCCGGGGTTTAGAACTTCAGAATAAGCGTCCCTCGGTGGGTGTGCAGGCCCACAGCAGAAGGCGCCCCCGTAGCCCCCAGGGACCTGGCAGATGTGCTGACTGGACGGCGGGCGCCCAGGGGACACGGGTCCTAGAGCCATGGGAAAGCTGGGACTAGAGCCCCCCTGTGCGGTGTGAGATCTGAGAGAGGGGTGGCGGTGACAGCTTCCAGGCTTGTCCAGGGCTGGTGGCCCCCTCTCCTGGGGCAGGATCTTGGCTCTAGGCCTAGGGGACACCTCAGATGCTCCAGGGGACCCATCCCCTCCTGTCGTTAGGACAGGCTGGAGGAAGGTTGTTCCAGACCCCTGAGATTTCTGATCTTCCGTGGCCACGTACACACTTGCATTTGAATTCCTACAAGCACCTGGCGCTGGACCAGGGGCCTCACCTGTCTGACCTCCATTGCCTCACCTGTGAAACGGGATTATAATGGCTCTCCTGTCTTGTGTTGATGGAGGTTGGCAGAGCCTCTGGCAGGGGCTCAGCAACTGGCAGCTGCCCTCAGAAACGGCACTGTCCCTGGCCCCGCCATGAGCTCTGTCTTCGGTCACCCGGCTTCAGCTGTGAAGCCCAGAGCCGCACGGATTTTGTTCTAATGCTTCTGAAGAGGCAGAATAACAGGGTCGCTTGTCCATGTCAGGACTGCTGACCCCCCCCCGCCCCGCCCACCGCCGCCAGGGCAGGCTCGGCGGCCCGGGAGGCCGCGGCAGGGCAGGTCCGGAGCGGGGAGCCCGCAGGGGCCTTGAATAGGGGGGTATGAAGTCAGGCGGCGGGCACAGGGGCCGGCGGCGGGCTCTGTGCAGCCGCGGGGCGGGGGCCTGTGAGCCCCTGGGCTCTCTGTGGGCCGGGGACACCTCCACCTTTCCAGTGTATGTTCTCATTGACTTTAAAGATGCGTTTTGTTGTCTCGTACAAATTGTACTAATAAAACATTCCCATTGTAGAGAAAATGAAAACAACGTTACAAAGTCAATACAAATTGCTGCTAATCCCAACCAGCCAGAGAAAATTAACTAACACTTGGGTGGCCTCCCTCTGTGTGTTTCTGTCTGTCTTGCTATCTCCCTGGCGATCTGGCTTTTCTCGGTTAACATTGTTTT